TTNAGAGTGGGTACACCATATACTGAGGCTGTGGTCTTTCTCACAGTCATCTGGGCTTACCTAACCTGGCATGAGCCAAGTTGGTATGTGAAGTTCAATTTAAATTCTACACAGTAACCTATAATTCTTTGAACTGACTGGGTAAATCACCAAGTGGCACATGTCTCCATGTCAAACTTTTTGTTGGGATCTGGAGGCTTGTCTACTTTCTCCACCAGAGGGCACACAAGATCTCTCCTGAGGGCATGAGCTGACTTCGACACCTGTTTCCCATCTGCTCATCAGGAGCCCTACAGTACTTAAGGAGGAGGAGGCTGACACTTCCCTGCCAGAGTGTTTGCCAGTAATGGTATAGCAAAACCTGAGCCAGCTTCTCAGATCTGTTACCCTGATTTTGAGAACAAATCTGATCCTGTGTTCTTCTGCCTATCAGATCCTGACTTATCTGGATATCTGTCATCCTGGAGAAAACTATCACTGTCTGGAACCTGCCTGCCCTCCGCCTCAGCCTCCGTCTCTGCCCTCAGCCTGCCGACTTGCCTCTGGACCCTCAAGGTTCCCCCCCTGCTGATCAGATTCCCCTCTGAGCAGGTATTAATCCGAGATATCTGTAAACTGCAAGTTTCCTGGATCATCACTAACTGATCTGTCCTCCTCAGTGGCTTCCCTCCTGTGACCAGTCTGACAAACCAAGAACCTGTGCACATTTGTTTGTGAACTCAGTTTAATAAATCATTTAACTTTTTCTCTGTCTGAAGAGAGCTTTCTGCATGTGGGTTAGACGCCTAGACCCCAACATGACACTTTTAGCCAATCACAGTAGCAGCTGTGACATATCACATTCATAATTTAGTATAAAACCAGCAGAATCAACGATAAATCAAATTCTTACCGAATCTGGTCGGGTGAAACGCACAAACATCTTTCCCATTCGCAAAAGCGCAAATCACATCCTTTTGCTTGTTTTTCAGAAAAGAAATGGAGGGTATTCCATCTACAACTAGCACAACCATGTTTGTTTTGTCTCAGCCAGTCTTGCTCATCACTATATTTCATCGAAGATTTTTCTGTTAACAAGATGTATTACTGGGGGTTTGTGAATTCACAAATCTCGCAACAGATCATAATGCTTGCAAGGTAAGGAATTACAGTTTGTGTCGGCTAATTCTGCTGATAAATAAAGAGGTGACGTTAAACAGAAAATGTCAGAAAAAAAGCTCAGTAATAGCTGTTTAAAAAATAGATGGGGATGTGTCTAAGATGTTAAACTTAGAATAAAAAAAGACTATGTTGTACATGAGCAATCTTCCAGTGAATATTAGAAATAATTCACTAAGCTATTGTATGCACTTCCTTGGAACCAAAATAGAGCATCATACAGGCTGAATATTTGAAAAAAGTCCACCCCTTAAGGGCATGCAGGACAACCACAAGGCAGTTAGGTGCTACTTCAACTAAGAGAGAGTCAAAGTGTGCTGTGGCCGGACATCAATTACGGAACACAACAAAAGATGAACTATAACATGACAGTAACATCCTCTGTCTTGGCAAAGGAAAGTTTAAGAGATGCTGTTCTGATAAGTGTTTCAATACTGAACCATAAGGAGATAAAGAGGCAACTGAAGAGAGCGGGGGTGGAGGGTGCATGTTTTCTTTCACAGCCCAGAGCAGCATCCAGAGAGCAGCCTTGGCAGCAATCCATGTGTCCCTTGGCGTGAGCACTGCAGTCACATTACATTTCCCCCTCTTCACTGGATTGCCGTGTGCCCAGCCGACGCTCCCATCCAGGACATGTCGAGTCCACTTTAGACGCTAGGCTCTCTGGCTTGAGCTAATACAGACTTCAGAGTCTATAATTATGTAAATAATTCAAGTCCGCTTTAAACAAATGAGTGAACAGAATGGTGCATGAGTTTCCCGAGATACTGATAAGAAGATGCACATGCAATTCTGCATGGCTACTGTAAAATGGGGTTGACTAACGGATAGAAGATTATAGAGATTTCTGTTTCACATTCAAATTTTCACACCATTTCAAAGTGCTGCAAGCAATGCAAAACTTAGCTGCACATCCGTGTACAGAAAACATTTTGAAATAGAAATATTAGGAAATACTGTATGTTTAGTTTCTTTTTGCTAACACTAACAGCCACAGTGAAAGTGACATGAGCCACACACTGTGTTGATCCTGTACCAATTAATTTCATGATTGACTAACTCCTGTTTAGTAGCACACTCCCATTGGCGCTAGGCTTCCCCCACTAGCCCCCGAGTCCCGACCCGATTTCTTTTGAGAAATGGCATTGGTAGTTAAGACAAACAGAGGATCACAAAGTCATGTGTTGTGTTGGCCTTGCAAAAATATTTAAAGACTGGAGTGGAAACTGACTTTTTGTGGCATAACAACAGGAATGTTTACTATACAACCAGAAATGTAGATGTAAATGTATTTGATGTTAGAATGCATCCTTCTTCCCTATCCTTCATTATTACTCATGTCACTTTGCTTATTACAGTCCCGAATTCTGCCAAGTATACTTATTAAACTTTAAATGTATTAACAGTATTAAAACCATTAAACATCTTAAAGCAAGGGCAAATTCATGGGGGGTGCTGCTGTAAAACTTTGCTACTCCAATTGCCCACCTACTTGTATGTCCTTAAAATACCTTTTTTTTTTCATCGCTAGTTGCTTAATTGTCTGAAGGCCTCCTACAGCCTTCAAATTAAAAATGAATTACAAAAAAATATAAAATTATAGATGTAAAGCTTGTAAAAACCCTTTGCTCTACTGTGGCAGATAATGGTTTGAGTAGTCTGTGTGTCCTTTCCAGATTGATAGATTAGGATCTCTTGGTGAGACACTGTCCTGCCCAACACAGTTAATGTCTTAAGCTCTCCTTTAGGTGATGGCTGAAATCAGCCCAGTAATGCAGTTTTAGTTTTTCCTTTTTCTTTCTAAATTTGTGTTCTAAATGTTTAAGTTGAATTTCTTTCTTAGTAGATAGAATAGATATTTTTTCTGGATATTTTGTTGACTTCATTTGTATATAAGATACTTTTTATGTGCTTTAATGAAGTCTTTTGCACCCCCTTTGCCCCCCATGTAAGATTGTCTAGATAGCCCACTGTCTCTGTGTCCCACAATGCTTTTCTTCAGTATAGACTTTGAAACAGGCGATAAAGACATGGAACCGAGTAGAGTTTGGGATAATCCTATGACAAAATAGTCAGAGGCTGCAAATACTTTAGAATGAGCCTGAGGTTTAACCCAGGTAAAACAACACTGATTAGTGATGCAGTGTTTACTTAAGAATAGTCCAGTCAAAGTCTAAACTTAAGTCCAATTTAGTTTAAAAACCCTAAGCAATCTGACCAAACAATAGGTCATTGATGAAAATGTTTAGTCTAAAAAACTTAACCTTTTAGATCTCTAGTTGTAAAACACTTTACAATCTTTGACTCTCCTTTTGAATCTTAATTTTTGTGCTAATTTGGATTGGCCTAGCATTCACTTACAATGACATTTCTGCTTGCAACTTGGCGAAGCATGAAAAGGTTTAAGGCATATGAGTAATTAATATTATAAGTTACTGTCTCTTAGTTATAGTTTAACGCACATTGTGCAAAAGACAATTCTGTAAAATGGATATGACTTTTTCTTAGTCTTGAGACTTTCTCTCTCACAAGGGTCCAAAAGGAGAGCTTTGGACAACAGTTTAAAGGTCCCTTCACAAAGAGAGAGCTGTGGCCATGTTGTCACAAGCATTGATTGGTTGTGGCATATGCAGAGAAAGATTGCCAGCCATCTTTTCATTATTTCTGTGGAACCCCTGAGGAGAGAGGGCATGAAGATGGACTCGAGCTCGCAAAGCGTAATTAAACTTCCACTGCTGGGTCATCTGCTGTTAAATGCTTTTGCCACAACTTCTAATTACTTAACAGGGCGATCTAAATGATGTGCTGTCACTGGGAAAACTAATTGGTATTTGGTAAGGGCAATATGGCAGCATTGTCTTCTACATGTGTCACTGTCTCACTGGAAGGATGAGTGGGCTTTGCATTATCTGACCCTGATTAAGAACATAGAGCAAATTAGGTGCATAACAGCTCTGGTTTATCAGACTGTTACAGAGCATTCATACAGCATGCAATTTCACAACTTCCTGATGTTTTTGACATTTGGATGCATATGTTGGACAGCAGCACCGCAAGAGCTATTTTTGGTAATTTGAATGTGTCCTACATTTATGGGAAAAAGTATTAAGGAAAGAGTCCTTCATAAACCATGAAGCTGAACTTTTAGTGAGGTGCCTAGCAGTGCACAACATACCATTTCGAACTAACAAAGAGCTAATATCATTGCTGGAATAGCTTTTTGCAAATGCAGCTGCCACACTAATTTTGATTCAAACCAGGGGAAACTGCTTAATGTGCATCAGGAAAATTCCAAATACAAAATGTTGCATATTCAAAGTAGAACTAAGAAAAGTTAAAAAGTTATGTCTGATTAAAATAGTCTAGAGAAGCCTTTCTTCCGGTGTATGTTTTTTTCCCTTGTTTCCATTCATTCCGGGAGGTATGCATGATTTCTGCAGATAACCTTTAAACAGGACACCAGCCAATAACAGCACACATTTCAGGAAAATATAAAAGAAGCAGTAGAACACCAGCAGCTAATCACACTGCTGTTTTGGTGTTTGGAGACACATCTTGATTGACTTACACAAATACATACAGTGATGTATGTAGATGTAGGCACTCTCACCAATGATGCCCTTTTCTGGTTAACAACTGCAAATAAGCTTTCCTTTCTTTTTTCTGTTTTAAGACTTCATTCTGACATATTGCAGCTTGTTGGAGAGGGTCAATTGTGAATGCAGACTTGATTAACAGTGATAAAAAGCACCTCAGGATGCCCTGAAGCTCAAGAGAAGCAGTGTGTGGTTGCAGGTGACCTTTTAGTTTTTGTTTCAGGAGGGAGCAACACATCAGCTTACCCCCAAAGTAGGATCCATCTGAAAGCTTGGTCTCTTTGCTGCCTTTGGTGAGGACACTCACAACCCCATGTTGAATGAAGTACATCTTCTTGCCAATAGTTCCCTCCCTGATGATGTAATCTCCAGGCTGGAATACCTCAAACCTCAACTTGGTAAGCATGGAAGTCACAAAATTGGGGTCGGCATTGGCAAACAGTGGCATCGAGGCCACCAGCTTTCGACAGTTGAAGTTGATGATTTCCTGTGTGGAGGTACAAAGGTATATTGAAAACAAATGCAAAAACACCAGATCAGTGAAGGCTATTTGAAATTGCTTTGTCATGTCAAAAGTTTTTGACAGAATAAATATTGCAGCAAGAAAAATGTCAGCTTTGCACATGCATAGCCTTGCTATGATTTCACATAACAACCACAAACTTAAATGTACTGGGATTTTATGTCATGACACAAGGTCATTCAGAAGCAAAAGATAAAGGATACAGGGTTTTCAATAGGATAGGAAACCTGTATGAAAACTTCCAAATATTGGAAAATATTTTGGATCTTGTCGTTTAAACCCATCTCTCCGCAGTTACATAGAGTGGAAACATTCCTCAACCTGCCTTACTTTGGATGTTCAGTCGTGTCTTGGTGAATTTGTAGTTTTCTTATACAATTTTCTCTTTTAGATGAGGTAATAACTGGTGCTCCTTATAATGTTTTAAAGTTGTTTCTTAACCTTATGCCATTTTAAAGTTATCCACAACTTCATTTCTAAGCTTTCTGTTTTTTTCCTTTGTTTTACCGAAGTTGATTTTTAAGCGCCTTCAGAGGTTTGGTAAAAAATAAAACTAGAAAACAGAGGTTTTGTTCATAATACAATCAATTTATAGGCCAATACAATTTTATAGTGAGCTACATTTTAAAGGTGTTAGGCTAAAGGTTGTTGAACAAAAATGCGTACCATATTTTTTTTAGATCTTTGCTTTTGAAATAAGCATTGTTTTTATTTAAGATTAAGGGTTATACAGTAGTGTGTGTCAGTATATCATAAGAATAAAAACATTTGTGACTAAAGTGAAAAAATGTGGTAATACTTTTGAAAAACACTCCATGTGCATTAGCATATGCATACAGTAGCTTAAAAAAAAGGCTTTCATCCAATTCAGTGATCATGGGAAAAATCCCAAACATTTGAGCTTAGCGAAGGAGTCTTTAAAACTTAAAAATAGTTTTTGACTATATTATACTTGTACATGTAACAAACCCAAACAGAAACCGCCACCTCACCTCACGAAGCGGCTCATTGAGCTCCCCCAGGATGCTCTCCTCATCGAACATCTTCCCCTGGTAGCGGTGCTCGTAGTAGTCGTGGATTCTCTGTCTCATATCTGCAGGAAGCTTGTGGAAGGACATGTACTGCTCGACCTGTTTGTACTGCAGGGACACAGAAACACACAGTGGCCAGATTACCCAAGGACCCAAATGCACCATTGCAAAGTTCAGTATCCTTGAGGTCAAAAAAGAGATGAATTTATGAATACTTTTGTAGAATATGACCAGAACTCTTTGAGTTTTGCTTTTTCTCTAAAACAGGCCAACTCATTCCTTACAGAAAAAGATCCACTGAGAGGCATGAAAGAGGTTTATAATGTGCAATGACGTCAATGCTACTTCAAAACATGAATGAGCATCATCTATAAATATGCCCTTAATGTTATGAAGTAGTTTTTCTCATCGAAAAGATTGTGTTAATCTGTCTATTCCTTTGTAGAAAAATGCAAACAAAAAAGTAAAATGTGTCAAAATTCTTTGATTGACTTCAAGCATTTAAAACTGATGCAGATCAAAGCAAACAACAAGCCTCTGGGGAATAATAAGAGGCAAAGTTCTTGACCCTCAGAGAATAAAAGACAAGAAACAAGAAGAGATAAAAATGCATTAACCATACAAGGTGCACTGTTACAGGCTATTCTTTGATCATTTCCAAGTCTTACCACTGAATGCTGCATTTGACCTCAGAAGTCTACTTCTGTGTTGTCTAACACTTTTTTCCTAGTCACCACTGATGTTGGAGGAAATCATCAAAAGGAAAGCCTTGTGCAGATATAGCACAGTAAAATAGGACAGCTGTCTCATGAAAGTCAGCTTGTTTTTAAGGAAACAAGAATATTTTCTGTCTGGAAATCAGCAAAAATACAAGACCATGTCAAGCACATAGAAAGTCTACGGGCAAACATGAGTAATGAATTTTACCCTGACACTGACCTTCTGATACGTGGCTGGTTTTGTAGTCTTTATTTCTACATGAGACCTTTTTAAATCCTCCAACACTTACACTCTAAATTTGTAAAATTTAGATGTGATTTTATGAGTCTGCATTAAACCAGAGCCTTTGAGTCCCTGGCAGACAGAGAAAACAATCTGGAGTCACTCTGTGCATACTGATGATGCAGTCCCCTAAACGTATCACTCAAATCGCAACAAGCCCCAAATGTACCGATAAGGCACGAAATACAGCAGATGAAGCACAAAGATTTCAACCTATTTTTACAAATGGTAGTTTTTTTAAAAAGCTCATTGTTTATTATTTATAATGCCTTTAGTGGCATCACAGAAAATGACACAATCTCATTTGTTTAAGGGTAGTGATTCTGTTCTGTCGTGTTGGCAGTTTAAGACTTTTCCTCACAACAAGTTATCACTAGCTTATTAAATGCTGCTTTCCCAAATAAATTACATTTTCCTCTTCTACTCCCTTATATTGCAAACTCTATATAACAAATATAGACATAAATCAATCTAGTCCCTCATTTGTTGAACGGTATGTGGAAGGGAGCTTCCAAACCTGTGATCCTATTGGTCAGATGCACTAAGTATTTATAAGCCACTGGTGTCAAACCAATTGCTGTTTTAGTTTCATGAGAGAAAGGTACTGATCCAGTGGTGTTTGTTTGGTTATTAATGAATAAGTTAATATATAATTTTATTTTAGACCATTCAATAAAATTACAAGTTGAAAACATACAAATAATATATATATATTAAATAATAGATATAATTTAGTGTTTATGTCTAAAAAGGGGTATGAAGAATTGAAACTGATTTATTCATTTCCCTTCTTTCCATCTTCCTGATTCCTAGATTACTTGAGTCAACATCGCTCACAAATTCCATTAAGTGAGCCAATAAATGTAAATATAAAATTACAAATAAACAGTCACATCCTCCTTCATACAATTATTACTCATAGGCCAAACAACCATGACCATAGCAAAAATATGCTTACACCCAGATACATTGACCAAGTGTACACATTAATATTCACTGCCCTTCTTCCACCTTATAACTTTTAAATGAAACCAGTTAGTCTTTTTTATGTTTTGTTTTTTAAAGCAGTCTTATTCTTGGATATTGCTTTATTTAAACTGTGGGCTTTTTCCCAAACTTACCACACATCTATTTCATGTTTTTTCAAGCAAATAAGATTTTAGATTGCCCTTGTAACTGTGCCCTCCCTCTCTCTCTCAACAAAAAAAAAGATGCCCTCTGGTAGTTGGTTATTTCTAGCATTATATAGTAATTGTAAGGTTTGAAATTCTACCAGATCATAGAATTTAAGTGGGCAGAAGTGAATGAGTAATTAATGAGTGTGATCAGGATAGCCGTCCTTTTGATATATCCTGATGGCTCTTTTCTGCAGTGTGCATTCTGATGCTTTCTGATAATTTGGTCTGAACATGTTTAAAGGGAGGCTTCTACCAGACCCTGTAATCCTGAGGTATCTAACCTTGGTTCTAAAGATCTACAGTGCTGCAGGTTTTAGATGCATCTCTACTCCAACACAGCAGATTCAAATTAATGGCTTATTCCTAGGCCTTTACCAGACTTGATGGCATGCTGAAGAGATAATTCAGTTATTTGAATTAGCTTTGGTGGAGCGGGGCTGCGTCTGGAATCTGCAGGACAGTAGATCTTAAGGAGCAGACTTAGAGACCCCTGTAGTACAGCAGTCCATAACCACACCAAAGAAGTTTCTTTCATCCTCTCTTTCTACCTCAAGCCAATCTAATTTGTCTTTCCCTTCAATATTTTCTTTATATCATGCAAATAAATTGAACTTTGTTTTCTCCAAAGTCAAGGGAACAGCAGCTCTTGATATCACCCAAGCTCAGCTGTATACAAAATATGTGCATGAAGATCAAACAAATCAAACTAAAATACTTTTGAAACCTTACATCTGTCATTTCTGGAAAGCAGGGGTTGCTAACATAGGGGCAGGGTTCCCCAAGGTGTTTATGAGACACCAATTTGGGGGTCGCAAGTGGTTTTCACAGTCATTGTGATGCGATCTCTGAAATATATGGAGGTCCAAACATGTTTTGAAATACAAAATGTACCATAAAATAATTAGAAGGCACACTATAATTCTATTCTATTCTATTCTATTCTATCATATTGGCCTCAATCCACTTTTTTTATATTATCCTATCTAAATTGAACTTGCATTTTTCATAGCATAATATTGGTTTTTAAAAAATTCTATTATCTTTTTCTTGATTTCTACTACGTTCTCTTTTTGTAGATTTTGGAAAACAGAAATGCATCCATTTACCCTAAGCTCTGGAGCAAAGTATAGTTTGATTCTTCTAACATAAAAGGATAATAATCAAGTGAAAAAAAAGAATGCTTTTTCACTGCTATCACCATTTATTAAAGCTGTCTGCTATATGGTTCAACTCTAAGCCTCTCCAAACCATTTTATATATACTCAGCACTGTTGAGCCACTGAGGAAATCTGACAGCGATTCAAAGAGTCTGACCAGATGGGGGTTTGTGCTGTGATGGACTGATAAAAGCCCCTTTGACAGGAAATTATCTTATTGCCATCATGCTTCTACCATGAAAATCCCTGCTCCAACATTTTACCCTTTTGAGATCCAGTTATGATAAATGTTTTTTGTGTGCACTCTGTGCAGTGGTCAGAGCTGCTGTCTTGGAGCAATTTTTTTTCCATCTTGGGCTCTCTCCGTATAGAGTTGCATTTGCTTAACATAAATGTGTGGCTTTCTCTAGATCATCTGGCTTTCTTTTTCCTTAGTCCAAAAATAATAATGTTAGGTCAATCAGTCTCTTTAAATTGCACTTTGGTTTGCATATGTACACGCATTGTTGCTTGTCCTGTATGCCCTTAGACTGGTGACCTCTCTAGGGTCCAATTTTCTTCTTCCCAAACGGCCACTGGGGGCAGGCATAATCCCCACTGCGAGCCCTCATGGTATGTTGTTGCAAATCAATCCTGAATGGAGATTATGAAGGTTGGTAAAAATGCAAAACAGCAGCTTTCATCCATCCACCTCACAAACACTGTATTTTAGTACCTTTCTCTGTAAGTATTTCCTCTAATCTCCAACCTACCTCTGAATATAAAGTAAGGAATCAGGTATTAAATGATCTCGGAAACAACAAACCACAAAACAGGCCTGTTTTAATTCTTATTTAGCCAGTTTTGTGGGTTGACAAGTCTGGCGATTTTGGACAGGAAACTTGGTGTAGTTCCCAGTACTGGATTGATTTAGGGTATTAGTTTGTCAAATGTCAATGTCAAATTTATTTATATGGCACTTTAAAAACAGGTATAAAACTGCACCAAAGTGCTTTACAGGAAAGACAACAACACCAATTAACAAAACTGAATGTGAAACACTGCTTCAATTAAAAGCCGAAGAATAAAAACAAGTTTTAAGAAGTGAAAATGATCCAAGCTGTGGGCGGATTTAATTTAAAGAGGTAAATGGTTCCACAGAATTGGAGCAACAACAGAGAAGTTGATTCTATTTTCATAACTCCTCCCAAAATTATGGCCATAAAATTCTTCCAATAGTTTTAAATATATCCGTCACGTAAAAAGTGTCAAGTCAATAATAAATCATCCAGATTTATTTAGAGATGATGAGACTGAATCAGCTTTCATTCTAACCTTAAAATAATTCCAGACAGCTTACTTTAACTACACCATTTTACAATACGTTTGTTGTAGTAAGAAAGATAGATTGTTTAGGCTGTTGACTTTTCATTATTAACAAATTCTGACAGGAGCACTGAGCTCAAGAGAACTGCTGCTCATTTTTCAACCATTTTATAAGGCCATTATTTTCTTCAGTGCAACGTTCCTCCACATGGCTGCTTTAATGTCATTCATTCATTCATTCATTCATTCATTCATTCATTCATTCATTCATTCATTCATTCATTCATTCATTCAATTCATCTCAACCCTCGAACTCTTTCATCACACATTTTATTCCCCCCACTTCTTTTCCCTCTAAAGAATATTTCCGAGCAGATGCAAATTCCAACCAAATAAAATATTAATAATTAATTTCCCCAAAGACATGTAAGCCACTTAATTAGACTTTCTAAACATGTATTTTTTT